GATGCAAGGGCAAAGTAGAGCAGTACCTGTTGGAGGTTTACTCCTATAGTTCAAGGACATAGGCTCCAGTCTTTGGAGCAACGCTTAGATACAAGATTTAGACTTATTAATTTTGACTATGGACTCCTGGACACTACATTCAATGAAATTAGAGTCAAGTTATGACTCAAGTCCGTAATCCCTGTTTTTGAGTAATTTTTGCATGTTAAGAGGTTATATTTCATGTGATACCTCCTATTATTGTAATTGGTTTTAACAATAGGATCCATCACATTTATATAGGGATGTTTGGGTAACAATAAGGGGCACATATATTTGTGATTGGTTGAAAGTAGTGCCATGTAAACCCTATTAGCATATAAAAATTTCTCGTTCTTGAGCCTAGTGTCACGTCCCGCTAGATTACCTAGACAAAATAGCCTACCAAGAGAAAGTCTCAAGGACATAAGGCTAATGAAATATTCCGGAAGCTCTTGGAAGACTTGAGAAAATGTGAAAATATGGAACATAATTCTATAATGTACATAAAAGGATCTAGAGTTAGTTCTAGAGCATTTAAGTGAAGATTGGAGGAATAGAAGCAATAGAAGCTTCTAGAACCTCCTAGGGAAATGAAGGTGGTAAAAGACCCTTATACATATTTCTAGAATGAGATAGATATTTGTATAGATATTTTTAGGGGGGATGCTAGAACCTTCTTGTAGGATAAAGAAAGCTTCTATAAGAAGCTTCTCAATAACTCCTTTGTATGTTCTGGAATATTCTAGAGAAGGCCTAAGATTTTTAAGGTGAATACAAAGGTATTCTCTCAAAATCTTTTTGTCTTTTTATTTCTCTTTCTTGCAAACTTGTGAGTTAGATCAAGTAAAACTTGTGATTGTCTAATTGTATTATATATTCACCCCTAAGCCTGAATCTATAGCATGTCATACAATTACAAAACCAATTCATATCTCAAATAAAATGCCTTAAGGATTTACATATTTTAAAGAGTAAAACTTTGTAAATAACCAAGGCCATGACACTAGGCTCATTTGGGGCTTTCCTATTCAACCCTCCAAAAAAGATAAGAAGAATAATAATCACGCTCAAAAAAAGTTGTTATATGTTGATGGGAAATTCTATTTCCACCCACCTAATAAACTCAAGGCAAATCTTTTCTCAATACACACACTTATTAATTTGATTATGAACTAATTTTCTCAATCCACACCCTTAAAATTACAATCACATCCTTCACTCATAAATGGTACACACACTTTACCCTCAAATGTACACACTTTAATTGATCTTAATTGACATTTCTAGTTCCACCCACTTTTGTGAAGACTTTGACTTCGTTCAAACAGAGAAAAAAAAAAAGTTTTGAACTTTCCTCACCTTCATTAAAGAACTTGAAGAGCTCTATTGAATCTCCACTAAAAACTATTGAATCCTTTATTTAAGGTAATATTTCCATTTTCTTATTACATTCATCATTTTGTTATTACATTTACCATTTTCGGATATCTCTGCACTCCATTGGCATATAAAACATCGATTTTTCCATGGTTAGGGACGGGTTGGATCTATCTTCACTGGGTGTCTGAATTTGTTTCTGTAATTCGGAACCTAATCACCAAATAATGTGTACAATTTCGACCAATGAAATCCAAACAAAATACAAAATTTTGAAGTTTTTCTGCCGAATATAATATATTTTTTTGGTTCAATAGTTCCAAATTAATTCTTTAATTTCGGCAATTGATTTCTGAAATATTTGTGTTTATTCAGCACTAAAGTTCCGAATGGTGTTTTTTTTATATATATATATATAAAAATTTACACCAATATAGGCTGCCAAGATTGGTTTCACTTTAGGTTCTTTTCCAACAATTTTATTTTATGGGTATGTTTATGTATTTATTTATTTTTATTTTTTTTTTGCGAATTCAATGCATAACAATAAAAACAAAACAGTATTGGTATTTTCACATTATATTGTTAACTTAAGTAGTTGTTAAACAATGGTCTTCAAAAATGTTGTTAGCTAAATAGTTGATCAAAACAATTGCATTATATAGAATATTAGGGGTTTGTCCTTTCAAAACATTGAAATTGGGGCCAAATTTGGTCTTTGGTTGTATACTTACAGCTACAACAAATTTACAATCATTAGAATGTACAAAGACAAGTAATGGGCAATCCTTTGTTTGTTTGAAAAATGATGTTGGTATTGATTAATGACCTTGTTGCCTTGGTAAATTGGCCAAAGTGAAGTTAATCTGTTTTTGGCATGTTGTGAACATTACCAAACTAATTGGTGAATGGTCTGTATAAAATACAAATAGTTTTGTTATATATCCATGTTTACATTGTAATTTTTCAACAAATCCCAGTCTCACTCTTTCATCAGTAGTAGGGTTATATCCTTAACTTATTTTGTTAATTTCATATCATCGAAATTGTCAATTTAATGGTCTATAACTGCATATTAGATTTCATTAAGGTGGCATGGTTAGGCTACTTATTACCCACATTGATGTGATCCTTTTCTGAGAGTGTTTATTCTATTTCATTATATTAGGTTGATGAGAACAATTTTCCTTATGCAGATGGATGTTGGTCCCAGTCAACTTTGGTCAGTAACAGCTTCGAACAGAAGACTCTATGAATTAGAGAGACGTGGTCGTGGACGTAGACGTGGATGTGCTCGAGTGCATGATGATGACACGAACATTACCATGGATGATGATCCTATACATGATGCACCAGTTATGGATGATATTGCTATGGATGATGACCCTACTGGTGATGATGCTGACATTGTTGATGAAGATATTCTTGCTTAGCCATTTCTGGAAGGGCCAATTGATCCATCAATCCTTAAAAGTTTTAAAAGTCATGTTGCCGTAGGTATTTGGAATGGTGCTGATGAAAGGGGGCCCTTGAATTGTCATAATCACTCGTCTAAGATTCGTTCGTGGCCGTAGTGGGAACAAGGAAAAAATGCTACATTTGTAAACATTGTAGAGATGTCAGGACTTGCACAATTAGCTCGTTGCATATATTGCTCTGTCAACAAAATTGTAGTGTCTAGTTTTGTTAAAAGATGACAACTGGAGACAAACACCTTCCATTTGACTGTTGGAGAGATGACTATCACATTGGATGATGTTGCCACTATCCTAGGGCTTCCCATTGTAGGAAAATCTATTAGTGTACGTAAGTTGTCAAAAAGTCGGGCCATTGCATTAGTAGTTAATACCTTGAAAAATGATGAGCAAGAGGTCAGACATGAGATGTCTAATGCTGGAGGCAATTCAGTGAGGCTTGAGTGGTTGAGAGCACACTTTCATAATGTCACAGACAATGATTCAATGGAAAGAATTGCATGTGCAAGTAAAGCATACTTGCTATTTTTGTTGGGCTGTACACTTTTCAGTGACAAGACTGGTACTAGGGTCCTCGTTATTTATTTGAGTTTGTTGTCCGATTTGACGACTGTATCTTCATATGCTTGGGGTGCTGCTACATTGGCATACTTATATAGACAGATGGAGTACGCTAGCAGGTCCGACAAATAGCCAGTTACATGACACTTTTTGAGGGATGGATTTATAAGTACTTTCGTGGATTCTGACCACACTTGAATGTGAATTACACTCGAGACATGCCACATGTTTATCATTGGACTTCTCGGAGAGAGTCTGGTAAAGAGACACAGTTGCAGGATTTTTGAGAGGAGCTTGATAGGTTGGGTGTACATGATGTAAGTTAGAAAGTCCTTCAAAATTTGAAACTCCATATCATACAAAATTTACAGTTGTCATATCTTACAGTTGTTATTGTTTGTAGGTTATTTGGGACCCGTACCAAAGTTGTAGAGATGTCCATCCGTGTCACCCAATTACGTTCTACCACGGTTGCCTAAAGTGTTTGGAAGTAGTTGAATCATATCACCCTGATAGAGTTTTGAGATAGCCTTAATCCACCACTTGGCCCTATATGTGCCTCTCGAGGAGCCACAACTCCACGCTACAATGTTATGTATGCATACTTGGACATCATTTGGGAGGCATAGGACAACCATGTGTTATCTGATCGAATGAGGAATACACCAGTACGACAACCTTGGAATTGTGTTCCTGGTTACATGGATTGGTACCAAACCATTACCCATATGTATGTTCAAAAGCCAACGCGCGTTCTCAGGTGGACCTAATATTCATCATTATCAGTATCCTAGCCAAGTTGCACATGTACTTTTTTTTTAAAGGGCACCATTACAAATTATTTATGTAAACTATTATAGGTTTGTACATAATGTTGTATTTGTTCTCGTAATGTAGCGTATGTCACAGATATATCAGATTACTCATCCTTTTATTGAGGCTGGCTATGAGGAGAGTGTTCCACATCCTGATAGACTTTACTATGCAATTGATGCAATTGAACAGCTTCTTCAAGATCAGCACATTAGTGAAGCTGCGCCCAACACATCCACTCAGGGTTGGTCTGCACCCAGCTCTTATATTACACATCGTTTTGGAGCACATTACATTCGCCGATCATGTAGTTGATAGTAGTTCATAATGTTAGCACATGTAGTTTCTGATGGTGTTAGTGGATGTATAAGAAGACAAATATTATTATTATCTTTGGATTATGTATTTCTTGGATTATGTATAAGGAGACATATATTTTGTGATGATGTGGATGGATTAAACTACTAGTTAATATTACTAGTTCTTGTTACATACTTGTTCTTTAATATGAATAATCTTTAACAATAGTTGCACTTGGTTAATATTATTTTCATTACATTTTGTGTTCAGACAATGTAAAAATAATATGACGTCTATTCCATAAATAAGAGAACTATAACTCATATGATATTATATTTTAAAAAAAATGACCATTACAAAATTCAATGGCAAAATGATATCTATCTCGTTGCTCCATGCTAGTAAATCATAAAAACTAATGTCTTAAACCTCTTATGACTGCTCTCTAATACATCAATCAATGTCAACTACATCAAATGTTTCTCGAGTAGCTACATTAGGTCCTATGTTGTCTTTGAATTTTTGAATGCGGCTAACATATGCATCCTCCCATTTTGATGCACAAGGGTGATGGCGAACTTGCCAAAGCACAGCAATGGGAGAAACTAGATGATCAGCCTTAAAAAATACCTATACGTACATCCAAAAATTTACATATCTTTACCAAATCCATCAAATATGCAATTACACAAATATTAAACAACAATGTACCGTTATTTTCATAACTTATACCTGCACAAAATGATTTCCATTAACAAATCCAATGGCAATCTCGCGACGATCAACTAGGGTTGCTGGCGGTGATCTCAAAGGTAAGAAAGTGAGACACTATTGCAATGATAAGTGGTACAAGACTACATTATAAAATGATGCAATAAGATGTCCTATGTCAGGCATAGTCATCCAACAATCAAAGACCGGGCTATCTTCAAAATATGAAAGGATGCATGTCAGCTCCTCAACGCTCTCATGTAACCCGTATAGTATGACATATTCATCTCTTTAATTATTTAATTCAAGTAGCATATCACGCCTAACTTGCACCCAGTCATTCTCTCCAAGACCAAGTAAACCCGCAATAGTTCTAAAACCACAATTCCCATTACCATCTACATCCTTCATCAACTTTACAAATGGTATTAACATAGGCAGGAAGTCACCAGTATATGCATTCAGTAAACTTGTTCTTGTACGATATGTCTTTGTCTTCACATTCCGCTTCTTATCAAGCACTTTCGAAGGTCTCTTTTTCTTTGACTGACTGGAAGCTAATGTGCTCTGGCTATTGTCACGACCTAACCCCCACCTCACGGGATTAGAGACGTAACCGGCTAGTAATCCGCAATTACCAAAGGCCTGCTTATTAGAAAATAGTAAGGGGTTGGCGGAAGCCAATAAAATCATAATACATTGTCCAATGAGTTGTGAACTAAAATGAATAACACACCTTTATATACATCACTGTACAATCATCCCATACCACATCGCATCATACACATATACCAAAAGCAAACACATTAATAAACAAGCATAAGACCAAAAACACTTTACTATAAGTCACTTGATCACTTTACAAAAGGGTAAATTCATTTTCACCAAAAAGCCTTAGAGTTAGACCCAAAAGAAACTTCGAAGGGAGGCACAACGGTTAGCTTGACAAACTAGAAAGTAGGTTGACGCCCTTAACTCCTTCCTTGAGCTGGATCACCTACATGGTAGACATAAACTGTGAGTCCAAGTCCAGTGAATAACAATGTGTATAGAGGTTAGAAGTAATGTCCATTTGAATAGTAAAATCATGTCATATAGCAGTAACATGCTCATTAAAACATAAAAATCATATGGAACTATGGGCTCATATATCAATTCTTCAAATCATGTTCATATAACTCAATATCTCATATGCATCTAGCCATGGTACTGTTACCCCCAGGCGAGGGCCACGTGAATATAGGCCACGATATTCTTACCCTCGGGCAAGGGCCACATAAACATAGACCACGATATTATTACCCCCGGGTGAGGGCCACGTAAAGATACGCCATGGTATTATTACCCCCGGCTACCGGCCACATGACTTTAGACTGTGGTACTATTACCCCCGGGTATGGGCGACGTGAGCGTATTATATGGAGTGGGTTCACGTATTTAGTCAACATATCACTATAGAACAGACTTTAACGATATCAATAACAATCGAAAAGAATTATAATTCAAGCATAGTTTTACTACATTGTCACTCACCGTTAGTCCCGTGTAGCACTTGACTTGGATGCGGCATTTGACCTATGTAGGCACATGAAAGCATAATGGTTCAATATTCAATTAGTCACTAACTTCTTCATTACTTACTTATTACTACTCATTTAACCCGATCCATTTTATTCTTTATTTCATTTTAAATTCATCCCATGCACATGCACATGAAAAACAGTTGAAAACCATGCAATTGAAGGCCTGGAAGTCAAAGAAATCAGGAGAAAAATCAATCTGGGCTAGCCCTGTTGGCCGCACGTGAGGTGGCCCTAGCCGCACGCTCGTGCGGATGAACTTCGGTGTGCAAATTTGGCCAAATCAAGCTTGACCGCTCGAACGGTGGCCTAGGCCACTCGAGCGGTCTAAGGCTAAAAAACACTTCAAAACCAAAGGAATTGATTACTTCCATCTTCAAGCAAGTAAGCAAGGCTCAAGCCTCAAAGAAGACCACAAAATCTTGAACCTTAGATGTATACAATTTTCAATGTATGCAAACTTTGAGTGTCAAAGTGAAAACTTTTGCAATTCGCTCTTCAAATCCGAAATTTCATGCAAGACGCAAGTGATGATGCCATGTATTACAAGGATAAGAGTTGACTATTTTCATTTCTTCACTTTAGGGTTCCTATCATCACTTTACATTACCCAACTTCTCAATTCATCTAAATTTCTATGATTCTATGGGCAAACAACTTTAATTCTTGAAATTAGAGGAAAGTTTCTTACCTTAGATGGATGAATTAGTGAAGATTTGGACTAAGCTCTTCTACTCCTCTTCTTCCTTCTACTCCTAAGGCTCTCTCTCCAATTGTCTTTACACCAACCATTATCTCTCCTTATTTACCTCTTTTGTTGACTTGAGATAAGTCTTGTTTGGATTTTCCTAATTCTCTTCCCAAGTCTAAGTTAATAATTCACTTCTCATCATAAATCTCTTAATTAACACTAAATTAAAACACATTACTGTGAATCAGGCTCTAATTGCCTATTTCAAATATTTAATTTTAATCTTATGATGCATTGATTCAGATAGGTTTATTACTTATTTCCATCTATCTTTCCCACTATTTCACTACCATGAACACATAGCACAATTAACAAATGGTAAATATAACACATGACATACAATTAGGCATAATAAACCCATAAGTAAGGCAAATTACGTAATTTAACAATTAATTAAGGGAGCAGCTGTTACAGCTATCATGGCCATCGTCAACTAACTCAAATGCACACGGGTCACGACGACAAGATATATCAGTTTTCTTATGTCCTCGACGTGGATTAGGTTTCACACCAGGCTCAATAAGAAAAGTGCTTGCTAGATTTGCAATTTCCCTCAACTTCTTCAACATATCCAATTGCGCGACAATATCAAACTCATTGAACTGCTTCAAAATCATCTCAAGTTTTAGGATACAAGTCAATTCCAATTTCTCAACCTTTGGATTATGCACACATATAGTAAGTCGCGTCCAATGTACATGTATGCTACTTAGTGGAATAGGATGGCTTTGTCTCATGTAATTTGCAATCTCGTGAGCACAAGGTAAACCATGTGTGCGCCTAAGAACACACCCACATGCTACAACATCAATTCCAACTGAATTTGCTCTCTTACTCTCTGCCAACACGTACTCTAATGCACAAATAGACACATTACCCCGAAGCTCTCTAAATTGAGAAAGTTTGAATTGATGTTGCACAGTTGTCAAACTCTTCTCGAATGATGCTTTAACTTGAATGTGCTGCAACTCAAGTAGACAATGTATTTTTTCAAATGAAATCTCAAATATCGTTTGACTTGAACCAAATTGCCTTTTTCAATCTAGCAAGAGCACTCTCAACCCTGTTCATATGGATGTGAACAAAAATAGTCAAGCATAATAATTAAAAATGACAATATGATTTATAAGAAATTAAAAAAAAAACAAATATTACCGATTGGTTGCAACATTGCCAAAATGCATACACATATTTGTATGTAACACAATGAATTTTTCTTGATACAGATTCAACCAACTCACGGTAATATACTTGATTGCTTCCGAATAGTTACTGAAATCCTTATGCAGTATTATAAGCTGATCCCTCTTCAGTCGATGACAATACCAAATAGTTTCATGCAGTGTTAAACTTGTCCCATTTTTCTTTTGTCTCAAATATTTTCTTGCATTTCGTCAATATATTCTTATTAATATGCCAACGACATAACAAATGTCGAGCATTCGGAAAAGTGTTGTTAATGGCATTCATCAAAGCAAGCTCTCTGTCTGTGAAAATGACTTCAAGTAAAACACTGTCGTCCATAAGATCACGCAATATTTGTAACGCCCATGCAAAATTATCAACCCGCTCAGTTTGCAAGTATGCGATAGCCATGGAGAATGTCATATGAGTAGATGTCACTCCCACAATTTCAAGAAGAGGAAGCCTATTCGTCTTATATGTGCAATCCATAATCACCACACGAGGGAATGTACGAAGCAAATCCAAACTCACTGGATGTGCCCAAAACAAGTCTGTGACAGTCATAGAGCCTTCCTCACACTGATGACACTCAATGTACTTATGTTTCGCTAATTCACCCAGCAGTTATTGTATTTGAGATCTACCAGCTTTCTGTAGAATCCTACATCGATGTCGTGCATTGTAAACTGTCTTCATTGTGCTCATATTAAGGGCATTCCTCTGTTTGAGTGTAATGAGTATCTCCTTTGGTCTTATTAGGCTCTCTGACATATCTACTAACAGTGACTTTTCATTAGCTGACAATCTTCCTGCATATGAATGTCCTTGGAGATGCTCCGCAGTTGCATGATTATGTAGTCCACAAACTACATTCAATATCCATTCATTGTTTGCTTTTAACTTGTATGCCTTCAAATCAAATGAACATTCGCACTTCTTCGTATCAGTTTGTCTCAATAAGTCTTTTGAGCCATCTTTCAACTTTTTACGCGATCTATACTTCCCACTCCCCTCACAAGTAAGATAAATTATTCATCTTTTGTGACCGCCACCATAATCCGACGTCCTTATAACAATAACAAAGCCATTTGCCCTTTCAATATCACGTACCCAAGTTAGCAATTCATCTTTGCTGTCGAAAACCTATATATAATGTCACACAACTTTCATAAGAACAAAGTAAACAAACTAATTAATAAAAATTATGAACTTACGAATTTCATGTTAAAGGTTACTTGTTTAGTAGTAAAATGACTAGTACAATCCACCATAATATCCGATCGAACCTCAGTTTCTTCAATGGATGCCATCTAAGAATGGAGGGAAAACAATTTTCATTCGATTGTACAAAGCCGAACATAATAAAATAATTCAACACTACAAAGCCAAAAATAATGAAATAATTCGACATTACAGAGACGAAAATAAATAAAAAATTCGGCACTACATGGCCCAAAAAAATATAAAATTCGACACTTTAAAACCGAAATAAATTTCAAATATCAAAATTTAAGTATCGAAAAATAGCATAAATTCTAAACTTGTATATCGAAATATTACTATTATTTCAGAAGTTGATTTCCGAATATTTTGATAAAATTCCACACTGACTATCCGACTAAAAACGCAAAAAAATAAAAATAAAATTGTTACACGAAAAACCTAACAGCACTGATTTTGCTGTCATCAGATATATTTTTACTTGAGTTTGAACTTTCATAGGTTTGCAACTCTTCCATATCAAAATCAAGTAAAAATTGTAAAACTAATAATTAAACGATGTAAATAGTCAAGTATAAACCTAGAGATTAAAGCAATATGAGAGATTTATGAGAATATTGATTTGCAAACAATAGATGAGTATAAAGTGTGTAACAAGAAAGTGATAACAACGGAAAAATTAGGGTCTAATTTTTTTTAATTCAAAAGTTGTATATTGAGATTTTTTTTATTCCTAAAAGCAGAGAATTTTTTATACAATATTATGAGTGTTACTGGATGTTTATTATAGTAATTTTTATTTATGATATAATTGTCATTAAATTAATAATTCATTAAGTGTGTGGCCTGAGCTAATCAGGTATGTGAAAATAGAATTTTCCTATGTTGATGGCCCATTACCCTTTTTCAAAGGGTTAGTTACATTTTTCCCCTCACAATTATCAACATAGCCCATTACCCTTTTTCAAAGGGTTAGTTACATTTTTCCCCTCACAATTATCAATTAAAATCAACCGTAACCCCATTAATTTTAAAATATACATTTAAATCTCTCAATTATCAAAATCGTTTCACTTCCATCCCTCTAGAAAAGGGGTTTTTGTATAATTTTTAATAGTTTAGTCTAAATGTATGGTTTAAAGTTAAAAAAGAGTATAGTGATATCTAGTGATAATTGTTCGAGGTAAACTACAATTGTTCATTAACAAAAGATCACATAATACCCACCATCTATCTCATAAAAAAGATCCACCATTGACAAATGAGCTATTCCCAATTCATGACAGCATGAGTGAAACTTGGTCAAAATTCCTATAATCTAGTAGAGATATACAAATAGAAAATCTATATAGCAAAATAATCCATAAAGATATAGCAAGTTCTATTTTTTGACATTTTAAAGCAAAATATCCATCAAGATAACTTATATTTTCAACAAGTCATAAGTTATGTACAAAATAATATAAGTGTAACACTTTCCTAACTCAAAATATATGTTTCATAGATTCTAGTCTTTACATGTTCATCATATTTGGAAAGTACTGATATGTACTGTTGAAACTAGAAGAGTTTGAAGCTCCATCTTACTTCCTATCAACACTGACTTTATAAATGCACTCAGACACATCCTCAATTTCAAAAGCACATTCATCTCCAACCTGAATGCGATTTGCCTTGCAAAATGCTTCCCAACCACTTGCCAAAACTTTGATACCCTGTTTCTCATGGTAGATGACCGGCCACAGTCTAGATACTGGGTCTCGAAGGCAAACTAATACCTTCCTTTCCATTATTGGCCTTCCCCTGAATGAAACCGATGGCAAGCAATTCGGCAACTCCTGCACCAACATTAAAGGATTGTGAAGAAAAGTTTAGAAATGCCGAAGAAAAGGGTACATTATTTCACTATCTAAAAAAGAAAAGGAAAAATCTCCGAAAAAACTTTCATTTACACACAAGAGGTGCAAAAAGAGTCCATTCAATTGGTTAAACGATAACAAGTAGCGCAACATCAAGTTTTCCATGATAGGTAATACATGAATGGTCTTCTAATTATCAGCAATGAGTGGAAATTCAATTTATTGACACGGAGAAATGACAGTCAACCCGCTACCATAAACTCAAATATTGTTTTTGGATCCACGGAGGAAAAAAAGAAGAGAGGATTTGTGAAAAAATATATCTCATCAACTAATCCAAACATGGTCTACGGGTTTCACTCATAGTTTTGTGGTACTTGATATCCATGATTTCAAATTTATGCTCAACTGATACAAGTTTAGAGAGAGATAGAGAGAGGAGGGGGGTTGATTACTTTTTCAAACTAAGAGCAAGACAAAAGACAAAAAAAGAAGTTGCAAGTGGGAGTAGGAAATCATAAAATGGGCCTCTAAAGGAAAAAGAAAAAGGAAAAAAGAAAAAAAAGGGAGAGAGAGAGTAGGGAACTGTTCATTGAACATTTAGGTACCTTGCTTAAATTCGAAATTCTGTCGAATCCTTGTGAATTACCATTTCTCCACACATTTCAATTCATACTGACACATAAAAGGTGTTTAACAGGGAAAGTCAAATGTTTTTGGTCTGCTTTCATCCGTTCCATCTTCTCTTAAAATGGTAGGACTAAGTGTTTCATCAATAACTTTATTCGGAACTGAATTCTGTTACATAGTAATTATTATTAACAACCTCTAGCATGTAAGACCAAGGAAAATTGAGAATACCGAGTTACGATGCAGTGCAATCAGAAGAACAATATCACAGAAAACCCACAAATGATTTCAGAAGTCAGATGATTATGATAACATTTTGACATAAAATTGAAAACACTACACATTCTCTAGTCACTTAGACTACATCTTGGGTGTTTCCTTCGGGGCAAAAAATTGGTTTTTCAAGAGTCTATAATTGATTAGTTTCTTGCATCCTTTACATGATTTTGTCCATTTGTGTCACATAATAGAATGGCACAATAACTAAAAGCATCCTTCTCAATTAAAAAAATGGTAAATTACAATTACACCCCTAAGGTGTACCAAAAATACAAATTCCCTTTGGTTTGAAAAATTACAGAGACCCCTTTGTTGGAGTTTTATCTTTTAACAAGATTAACAGAAAAGGCAAAATTACCTAATTACCCTCCCCCACACAAAAAAAAAACACGGTACGCTCGTCTCCTTTCTCCCTTGCCCAAGCCCTTCCATTACCCCCTTCCCTCACCACCATCACACCCCTCTCCCATCCATTAATCTTTTTTTTGTTAAATGTTGTCCATGGCTATGCTTTAACCATAATGACCAATTAGCTATAATGGCTTCTTGCTGTGACACCTCCCAATCAATACTTTTTGTTCCCGAATCCTAGGATATATTTGACTCTAAGTTCTTCAAGCAAATTAAAGTTGCGCATTGGTTTTGCAAGGCATATTATGTTCATCGTGTCTATAAAAAACATGAAACAGAGTCTTCACACATTCAGTCTTGTTTGGAAGGGGTGAACTGACATTTCATTTCCCTTCCTCCACCGCAAGCATCACAAACACCTACCCCGCACCCTCCACACACCGTGCATGACTCACAGCCAAACGAAATCCACTTGGGTCTTTGGTCGAATAGTTGGTCCACAACTTCCACAGCCTATTCTCCCTCACCCTTCACCCCCATGTCACCAACACTCAGCCATCGGCAATTGGCCACCGGCAAAACAGCCACCAATAATAACCTCCACCACAACCACGCCCAACTCCACCTCTTCAACACGCACTTCCATCGCCGTCGCCACCACCCATCACCAAGACCCCGTAGCATAACCCTTGCCAAATAGCAAAATAAAAACCCCCTAGCATGTAACCTAGAAAGACCACCTAGCATGTTGCAATTGAAAGTAAGAGAGGAAAGGAGCACGGTCATTAAAATCTCAATCTGGATCCGACGATCTTACTATTCATTTGGGCACAATCGATTCGAATCATGTAAAAAATTACAGGTAGGATCTTTCGATCATGATAATTGGATCTTATAGGATTGTGAAATTACGATCCTATCCGATCCATTTTGTAAGCCTTGTTTTGTATTGTTATGGCCTATTTTATTATAAATTTTATGTTTATCGTTTAAATACCAATTTATGTGATCCAAATAAATAAATAAATAAATAAAAGTAATATTAAATTAAATAGATTAAAAAAATAAATTAGAAAAATAAAAATTTAAGTATTGTAGTAATTTAAGAAAATTAACTAGTTGGAAAACAAATTTAGCCTTAACAGGGTTTGAGGAGGACGACATGTATACAACTTTTACTCTGACCTTTGGAGAGGCTATTTTCGTCCTAGAACTCAATCCACC